TCCCGAGCCTCATCCCGCGGACCCCGAGCCTCATCCCGAGCCTCATCCCGCGGAGCCCGAGCTGCATCCCAGCCGAGAGCGGAGAGAGGAGGCTGCAGCGGGGATTTCGTCCCTTCACCCTCTTCAGCTGAGTTCACCGAGTCACAATCACACCAGCAACTTTGTGCCAAAGCTGCGTCCTTTTATTTGTAAGCAATTTCTCAGCCTAAACAAACCATCACAAATCAAACATCATAAATAAATAGTAAAATAAAATAAAATAAAATAAAATAAAATAAATAAAAAATAAATAAAAAATAAAGTCATCCTTGTTTCAGGAGGACCTCTGCCTCATTTCTCTGCTGTGTCTGTTTTGCTTCCCAATTTAGTGCCATTTACAAGCACAAAATCCTTTTTCTGTCGCTGAATATTTGTGTACAAGTGCAAGGAGGCAGAATTTCCATGCGAATTCTAAACCATGTAATGTTTTCCGTTTGGTTTTTTGGTTTTTTTTCTGTATGGCTACTAGAGCAAAATTTGTATTTGTGTATTTGGGGATTTAAAGTTGTTAATACTAGTCTAATTCTGATCCTAACTTAGCTGAGCCTAAGAAACTTGATTTTAATATTTCTCTCAGTAATGTTTGCAAGAGATCTGGAATCATATTTAGAGTTTCTTTGTCCGTATTTTTAAAAATAATAATTTGTATTAAAAGATGCAAACAGCAGCTGAACATCATCCACAAACCTTGACAGCAGGAATCTGTGACAGCAGCCTGGGCACAGGTGAGGACAAGGCCAGCCCTTTCCATGGTTCTCCCTGCTGAATGCAGCATGGCCTCCCATGCTGGATGCAAGCTGACACTTTGATCTGATTGGAAATTACATTTGTGTCTTAGCCATTTCCACACTAAAACTGTTGTGGGAAGAATGTGTAAACAGAGAAAGTGGAGTAGGCATTGTTTTTGAGGATTGACATGTAAAAGGAATGGAAAAACAATTTTTCTTCCGTAGTGTTGCTTGAGTTTAGAGGTTAGGTTACCCCATCTTGTGTATTATCATATCTCTAGCAGACCTAGTATTAACAACCATGTCAACAATTCCACCACTGAAAGGAATCAATGTATGCATCCAAGCGTGCAAGCTCAGAGCTGTGTTGTCATATTCTCTGATGACCAAGAAGATAAATGCAGCAATGACCGGCAAGATCGAGTGCCTCAAGAAGTTTGCAGATGACATGAATTGACAGTTGACACTCCTTAAGGACAGGATGCAATCGCTGGGGCCCTGGACAAGCTCGAGGGTTGGGCCTGCAGGAACCTCATGAGGTTCAACAAGTCCCAGTGCAAGGTGCTGCACCCGGGTCAGGGCAAACCCAGACTTGAATACAGGACTGTGAGAAGAAATCACTGAGAGCAGCCCTGCAGAGAAGGACTTGGGAGTTCCTGGTTATGAAAAGATGGATATGACCCAAAAGTGTGCGCTTGTGGCCCAGAAGGCCCATGGCACCCTGGGCTGCATCAAAAGCAGCGTAGCCAGCAGGTTGAGGGAGGGGATTCTCCCACCCTACTTTGCTCTCATGAGACCCCCCAGGAGTGCTTCATCCAGCTCTGGGGTCCTCAGCACCACAAAAACACAGACTTGATAGAGCAGGTCCAAAGAAGGACCACAAAGATGGTCAGAGAGCTGAAGCACCTCTCCCATGAAGAGAAGCTGAGAGAGCTGGAGTTGGTCAGCCTGGAGAAGAGGAGGCTTTGGGGAGGCCTTACTGTGGCCTTCCAGTACTTTAAGGTGCTTATAAAAAGGAGGGAAAGGGACTTTTTATATGGGCAGATAGTGCTAGACCAAATGTCAGTGGGTTTAGATTGAAAGAGGGCTGATTCAGATCAGATGTTAGGAAGAAATTCTTTACTCGGAGACTTGTGAGGCTGTGAGTGCCCCATCCCCGGAAGTGTTCAAGGCCAGATTAGATAGCTGAGCTAAAGAGTGGCATCCCTGCACATGGCAGGGCTTGGGACTATGTGAACCTTAAGGTCCTTTCCAACCCAATCCAGTCTGTCATGACAACTGTGCTCCTCTGAGTTAACATTTAATCAACATTTAAGATGCTCTTATGTGATATGCAGCCAGATTACAGCAGAGAGTAGCTAGAAAACACATGGATCCTGAGTTTGATGGGCATAAATTATCTGCTGAGGTCCTGCTTTAGCTAGCAATTCAGACATACCCACCGAGGCAGTGTGGCTTTGGCCTGGTGTTCACCATAATATTATTTTACCATCTACAGCCACTCACTTCTTAAGCATCATTTTGATGTGAATGGCATCATCAAGCTATATTAAACTCCACAAAAAACACATCCCAAAAACAGGGGATTCCTATAGGTTGCTCTCAGCCTTGCTGAGAGCTGGAATATGCAAGAAGGCTTTGATTTATTTAATCTCCTTTGTTGCTGATCTTTTTTGGAAGCAAGCAGTAAATTCTCCAGTAAAAAGGGAACATGTTTTAACATCAACCTGGATCTCAAGATAAACAGCACAGAACTTCAAATACAGATTAGAAACAGCTTACATAGCACAGAGACACACCAGACTTTTTAAGTATTAAAATACTATTCTCCACTTAAATAGCAAATACACCCCCAAGTTCTACATAAACAGGCCTAGCTACAGAAATTACTTAGTCCTTATTCAAGTGCAGCCGTAGAAGTGCAGAGTAAAGTGGAATCTACAACACTTAATATTACTTTTCTTCTGTTTACGGCATGTCTTATAAAAGGAATCTTTCTTTTTCTTCTTAAAATATCTAACTTTTTTGTAATTCAGTGGACTGATCTACTATCTTGGTTCTTTTTTTTCTTCCACTTGCAAATCAGATTTTTAAACTGTGCAGATAACTTGTATTAAAACTTTATTATTATTAGCACAAATATTGCTACAAAAGTGAAAATGCACTTCTGGTAAATCTGTCATGGTATGAAAATTCAGCATTGGTTTCTGAGGATGCAAACCACAGAATTACAGAAAATGATCAGAAAATTGGACACAAAACATAAGATTTGTTCAATTTGACTTCAGAATCTGGGTGAGAAATCCTACATTTTCTATGGCACTAATGCAGAAATATAGGCATTTTCAAACCATGATTTTCCTCACCTACTTTAAATATCTACTCTGGGGGAACACATATGGGAATTTTAGAGTCAGTCTTCACCAATTGTAACAGGGATCCCTAAATCATGAGCACAGAATTAGGTGTGGATGTGTAAACAGCTGAAAACCACTTTAAAACATGGCTGAATTGACAGCCAAGGGTCCCAGTTGTCATGTGCCTTGTCCTGCACAGCCTCTGGGTGCTGCAGATCAGGGTGAAACATCTTCTGTCCTGACAAAGGCCAGCACTGCCCAATGCCTGAAGCACAGAGCCCCAGCTTTGGTGTGCCTGTGTCTCAGAGAGCAGGGTTTTGATGGACAGTTCAGACAGGTTTGTCTGCACTGATCCAAGCTGTCGCTCCCTGCCTGGCTCCCGACTCTCAGCAGAGAATATCCTGTACGAGGGAGCGCAGAGCTGGCCACAAACTGATGCCACAAGTGTCTCAGTACATGGTCCATTGTGTCAGCTCAAATACCTGTAAAAGCAGTTTTCTTCTCCAGCCTGCAAACTCAAGTCCTGAGACCCTAGCACATGCCACATCCTACTCTAAGGCAATAATTTCCAGTCAGCAAGCAAGGCAAACATCTGGGACAGCCATGTTTTAAATCACAGCAGTCAAATCTGCCAGAGCTTGCCCACGGGAGTACTAAAGCACTGGCGTCATTTCCAGAGATACCTGGGTTTCCTTTGGAAATCTGCTGTGAAATCCTTGAGCTGACACAAAGTGGAGAAGTTCTCCTTTGGAGAAATTAGTAATACTGTCCGGTTCTTGTATCCCTAATTTCCTTTCCTCAAATCAAGTCTCTCCTCTAAAGGCTTTCCTTCTTTTACAGTTTTTCTGACATTAAATGTTTTCATTTTCCTTCCTCTCACCCTCACAGAAACCTCCCTCTGCAAACATCCCATCATCCTGGCTGGGGTTCAGACAGACTTCTGCAAGAAACTGTCCCCTTCTGCAGGATGGCAGATTTATTTAGCAAGAGAGACTCTAATTCAAAACAAACAAAACCTGAACAAAGCATCAAACACATCCTGGTTGCCAGGTGAATAGTGTGGTGAAACATCTCATGTGACAAGTACACACCAGCGAGCAGACAGTAGGTGTAACAACAGCAAAAGTGTCAACCCAGTCCTCGAGAGCTGTGCTGGTTTTTTAGCACAGACTTCCAGCATATGGCAAACTGCAAGGTAGTCTTGTCCAACACCAACTTTTAAGTGAAACCCAAATCCAGGCATAGAGCAGATTTCAATTTCTTTCTTCCCCTTTTCTAACTGTTCATTATTAATTTGGAAAAACAGTAGGAATTCTTTGGTTTGCTGGAAAATCTTTTTGGTTCCCAGACTTTCCAGTGTAAAATAGCCATTTCTGAAGAAAGCAAAATTACTTCTTCAAAGATATTAATTTTGTCAGAAACTTTGCATTAAAAAAAAATAAAATAAAATAGACTTTTCCACTAATCCCAGTGGTTAGACCAGTGTGGAGAAAACCCAAATGTAGCACAGACAAGCTCAGAGCCACAGAGGCCAGCTGGGTTGGCCCTGCTAAGCAGCCCTCACATGGCAGGTCCCATGCATGGTGGGTCTTCCCAAACAGAACAACTTTCCATGCCTTTTCCTAGTTTCTGTCTCTTCCCACTCCTTATGAGTACCAGGAGGCAACAACAGTAACAGCTAAGGAGTTGGAAAGGCAGATGGAATGGTGAAAAAAGGGTCATGGGATGGTGGTATCTACTGAAGAGTCTCCTCTGCCCTGGTGCTTCTCTTCCCAGTCTCACTGGGGTTAGATGTTCACTGCTTTTTGAGCATATTGCATTTCAATAAGCTCTTCCACACACACTCACAGGCTTCTTTCCAGACCTTGGAGCTCCCCTCTAGAAATTTGCCTTGTGTGGCACATCTTTTCACACTTCTGCATGTGATGGGAACAGCCAGCACGTTCCAGCTGTTCTTACAGCATGTTCTCCCAGGAGCTCCCCTTGGGGAAAGCTGCCAACACCTTATGACTTCTACAAAATGCAGTTGGTGGACTTACACAAAAGATACCCCATGGTCTCCCAAACACTCATCCAGAACTGGAACTTCTGTTGGCATCTAAAAATGGGCTTCAGCAAGCAACACTGCCAGCTCAACCTGCATGAGAAATAATGGCAGCCAAAGAAAATGTCCCCAGACCCTGCACCTGGGTCTGTTCCCTCCAGCATCCCAGGCATAGCAGGCGCTTCCATTTTCTTTTGGTAAGGATTGTTAGCAAATTACTAAGGTGGGTGAAATTACTCATCTCCCCTGAACAACATCCTTGTCTCCCTGTCCTGCTCCTGGAAGATGGCATTTGGTGCAAGTGGAGAAGAGGGTGCATAGAATAGTCGAACCCATGGGATATGAACTGTTCCAAACATTAGCTCCAGTTCTAAGAAATCCACTCGCCTGGTGTTGGGCAGATTAGCTGCTTGGATCAGGAGCTACCCACATTTTCTGTGTTGAAAATGCAAAGTTGAGGCTGCAGTAAGCAGCCAGCTACAGCAGTAGTGTGCCTTGGTAGGTTTCCTTTGCTGTCCCTGAGCACAGCTTGGCTTTTGTTTTACATGGGGCTGGAAATCCTCTGAAACAGCCAACGGATGCTGATTCACAATGCTGATGTTGTAAAACTAAGTTTCCCTTCCTAAAGGATTATGAGCTGAGTGCAGTGACAAGTATACCAGTTTTAGTACTGTATCCAGCTTGGCCACTCATCTGAATATCTGATGTTGCTGGAGAAGGAGAACCTCCTCTGGAAACTGATGTAGAGTGCAGGGCTTACCTGAGGCATAAAGATGGAAATGTTCAGCAGGGCTGCCTGACCCTCCCCTTCCACGAGCTGTGGGACATCTCTGGTGCACAGCAGGCTGTAGGTAACCTCCCCCAGGGCTGCACCTCACCTGGCCACTCCAGCTCCCTCCATGTCACAAACCAGGAGTGACAGAGCCTCCCTAGGAGCCCAGCAGCCCTTTGGTGGGTGCAGGGAAAGCTCTGCAGCCAGCTCTTGCCTGGCCGGGCTGCAGGGAGGCAGTGAGGGCCAGACTCACACATTTCTGCACCGTCAGAACCCACACATCCTCTCAGACTGCTTGGAGGGGCCAGTTCTCCACACAGCTGCCCTCTTCAGAACAGACCCGGGAGCCGTCTGCACATGCAGAACACAAAACCAGAGTTCTCTAATTAATTCTTCAACTTGACCAGGTGGTTATTATTTTCTCATCACCTGTTCTTGTGACAGCATTGGAGCAGACATCTGAAGAGATGAAACAAGTCCCTCACTCAACTTACCATTTCTTCTGATGACAAAGTTTGCTAGAGATTTGTACCAGCAAAGAGAATTATCTGTTAAAATGTATCAAGGATGAGCCTTTTTAGTCACATGCTTGAGACTTATAAAAAACAAAAAACACCTAATGAGTAAAGTAATGGTAAGTGGCAAAACCATATTTTTTCCCAAGCTGCTGCAAGCATGAAAAGCCCAGGTATTTCTCAGCCATTTACAATGGGTAAATAGCAGACAGGGACATTTTCTGCACAGTAAATCATTTCAGCTCAGAGACTTTCATAAATGTCAAATGAGGTGCCATCCTGCCAGACTCCCAGCAGAGCAGCTGTGGTGGCCTTCAACAGTGGCAGCCCACAGTGAGTGGGAGAGGAGTGTTTTGGGGGTAAACCTGGAAAGCACTTTGAGAAAAAAGGCAGTGGCAGCTCAGGGGGAAATGTCTTGCCCTCTCTACACCAACAGCCTGTAGGAACCTGTCTGTGGAAACAAGCTGGAGTTACTTTTACTTGTTGGCATTGATTTAGAGGAAAGTTTTCATTGAAGTCTTGGAAATCCCCAACCCAAAAAATGTGTTCCTCAGTCACTGTAATTATTCCGGACTCCATGTTTAATATATATATCTTGCTGTCAATCTGTAGTGACCCTGAAAGCACAAGTAACAAGGAAAAATTAGCACATTCATTAATTAGGAGCTACTCTGGGATATTTGAGGATAAGTGGTCTTCAACAGGTACTCAGTTATGAAAGGCACAGTGCTGCTGACTGGTAAAAGTCAAAGTATTTCTATACACATAAGGTTCCAGGCAGCAGGAACTCACACTCTGAAACAATTAAGAGCAAACATCTTCCTGTAGGATAATGAGATAGAAATAATATGCAAAGGTTGACCCTCTGGGCCAATGTCCTTAAAAATATTTCAGTTTACTTACATTGTGATAGAGAAAGAATAAAAAGGGAGCACTAGTTTCTACATAGGAATGAGGACACTTTTTTGGTTTTTAATGAAGAAAATGGGAAAAAAAATACGTCTTGTTTCAACTGTTAGTAAACCCTATCCCCCTCATGGGGATTGGTAAACCAGCCGTCAAAGAAATTCAGGGCTATTGTCACTGCCCATAACAATTTGTTCATTGTGACCAGAGTAAAATAGGTATTTAATCAACATCTAGTGCAAGAAAAGTACAGAGAACAATACTCCTTCCATCCCCAACCAAAAAAAAAAAAAAAAAAAAAAAAAAAAGATAATTTGGAATCATGTTTGTGAAGCTGCTGGAGAATTATGTGGCAATATAAAATGAGTAAGTCTGTGCAGTCTTTAATTCTTCTCTCCCTAAGACAAAAACTCATACATTTCACTCGCATTCCTAGGACAAAAAAATAAAAGTTAGAACAAGTTTTCTTTGGAAATCTCTACATCTCTTTCCCTTCCCGTTCTAATTTCTACTCTGTTAAGGCATGTTAACCTCTATAGCCAGCAGGTAGACCTGGCAAAAAGTGAACCGTTCACTACAAAAGTATACTGCTAGCAAGTCCCTAACAAACAGCTAAAAATATGGCAGGATGCTGCAAAATTCACAGGATCATAGAATGGTCTGGGTTGCAAGAGACCTTAAAGACCATCTGGTTCCAAACTCCCTGCCATAGGCAGGGACATCTTGCACTAGACCAGGTTGCTCAAAGCTTCATCCAGCCTGGCCTTCAACATTTCCAGGTGTCCTAAGGAACCCCACCATTCCATGGTTACTGCAGCCAAGGCTTCCCAGGAACTTCACATTTCCCACCACATCTCCTTGTTGGGGAGAGCAAAGTTCAGCACAGCACCTCTCCTCTTTGGCACCTCTATCACTTGGAGAAGGAAGTTATTATTAATGCAGTCCAGGAACTTCCTGGCATTCCTGTGCCCTGCTGCCTTGTCCATCCTGCAAATACTGGAGCAGTAGAAATTCCCCACGGGGTCCAGGGCTTGTGGATGTGAGGCTGTCTGTAAGGGCCTCGTCCTTTCAGGCTTCCTGGTCAGCTGGCCTGTAGCAGACACCACTATAATGTCCCTTCCCTCCCTCTAATCCTGACCCCAAGGCTCTCAGTCAGCTCCACATCCATAGCCAGGCAGAGATCCACTCATGCACTCCAGCTGGTCACTGACAGAGGACCTGCTCCATGTCCCCTCTGCCTGCCCTTCCCAAAGATCCTGTATCCTTCCATTCCAACATCCCAGTCACAGGAGCCATCCCACCACATCTCCATGATGACAATGAAATCATAGCCTTGCAGGTATGACATGCTCTGCTGATTCATCTGTCTCCTCCCTTCCAGATGTTCTCAATTGAATATGCAGATTATGCTTTATTCTGCAACTCCTGATACCCTTTCTTGGAGATTTTTCAATTTTAAATCTGACATAGTTTTTCATTTGCTGCAATGTGCATCTTGAGTTTCTACAAATAGTACAAACTTTAAGAATAAAGGAATTTTCAAGAAATAAAAATCAAATCAGGTAGAAGTTCTGTGTGGAATAATCTGTATTTGACAAGAATATATTATATATCTCACTCAGAACATTAAAAAAAATAAACACAGTGAGAAGCAATTGGCATGTGGAAAACGCTAATTTCTGAAACAAAAAATAAAAATTAGACAAAGGCATCAGGAACCATCACCCCAGGATACAAGTCAGACATATTTTTCAGCTAAGAGTCAGTGAATGTATTTAATTTTCATTACCAGACTTGCCCTAATGCCATGCTGGGACACAGCACCAGTATTTTCAATCCAGTAAAGACTGGAAGGGTGTTAAATGCCAACAGCAGAGCTGTGCTGCAGGAGAGGGACAGGCTTGGGACAGAAGGGTGCTGGGCAGCCCCTGTGCCTCCCGTCCTGCTGAGTAGGCAGGGAGTGGCACTGAGGGGACACTGACCCTGTTTGCAGGGCTTTGCACAGGACAACACAACATTTATTTCTAGCGTGTGTGGAGAGAAGAAATCTAAGTGCCTTGAGGAGGATGTTGGCCTGGCTCAGATTCCCTTGGGGAAGACAGAGTCGGAAGGAGATGATCCTCCCGTCCCACTGCCAAAGTGGCACAGGCAAGGAGAGAGCACACAGGGGGACAGACAGACAGACAGAGCCTCCCTCACAGCCTGCATCTGCCTGGGGAGGTGGGGTGTTGGCACCTTGGGAATTTCAACTCCTACAGCATAACAGGTTTCAACAGTCTAGCATTGCCCTACGCTTTTTAATTTCACTCTCTGAATGACAGATTCAACTGGACAGACAGAAATTCAGGGACTGGCAGATCTGCTGTGGAAGTTGAGTCCTAAACAGGATGGAGGATTGTTAAATGCCAATAACAAAGTTGCACTGTAGAACAGAAGTCACCTTGAACCCAACAGGCTGGTCAGGAGATCAAAGCAGAGATCTTTTTGGAGCCAAATCAGAATGAAATTTCTTTTCCTAACTGCCTTAAGAAATATTGTTTATTAAGCCCTCCCAAAATGTGTTGGCCTATTTATAGTCACTGTTGTATGTCCCTGAGGACATGGCCCATTGGCCAGAATGCTTGCAGAGAAAACTCTGGGAAAAATTAATCTCAAATTACAGGGAAACCTGTGGAGCCAGATTTTGGGCAAGAGACTGAGAGAGCACTGTATAGCAGTGGAATTGCAGCACATACAAGTGTCTGTATCCCCAGGAAAGCCATACCTTACCCAAATAACTGATTTCAGTCAATGATCATAGAATGACAGAGAAGACACCACTTGCTTTAAAGAAAAGAGAGCTTGTGAGATTAGTTTCCCATCTCCTGCCTTCAGAAAAGCAGCTGACAGATGTTTTCCAAACTCATTTTGAAAAATCACCAAGACTCAATAGCCTCATAGAAAATTGTCCCAGCCTTTCCTTATCCTCACATGAGATGGAATTTTTGAAAACAAAAATTAAATACCTCCTCCAGCCATTTCCTCAGTATTTCCATGCAACGTTATGACACAAAGCACAGTCAATGAGAATTAAATGGGTAACTACATATTTTGAGATAAGAGGAAGAAAGTCTAGGTAAAGTCTGTAATGAGATTTCTTAGTCTCAGGACTCCTGAACTTCTCTCCTGATTTATTAAGGCTGTCAGACTCTCTGATATACAGAATTTCAGAAAGAATGCTGTCTCCAGGAAGAAGGAAAGGTAAGGTGATTTTTTTATGGGAAGCTAACATCAGGATAAAATATAGGGCACCTTCTCTTGCTTCTTGAGATAAAACTTTTCTGAGAGGCTGAATAGACTGCATTTTCTTAATGGAGATACATTTTTTCAGTTTTAAATCCTATGCAAGTGAAATACTGCTCTCATTGATGATCGCAGAAGGAAATCAATTCAGCATTACAGATTCTGAAATAGATCTCATAAATTGCCTTAGTCCCTTGATTGCAGTGCAAGTCTGGCAACTCACACAGCTGAGCCTCTGTCTCCCTATTTAGAGAGCAGTTGGTATTCTCACTGCTACCTTATTAGCAGAGCAGGTGAGTTTGCAGTAAAGATAGAACTGAGAGAGATCTGCTGACATCAGATTAATATAGACATATCTTTCTTGATAGTATTTTATTTTCAAAGGCTTTTGAGAATTTAGTGTTCAAATACCTGAGGTTCATGATGTATTATACCATACAAGGTCATTGATGTCACTGACAACTTTATGGGCAATAGCTCTTGCCATCAGATAACACTCAATATGTGCAAACACAGGCTGAAAACCTCATCCATTTTTGGCTGTAATGTTGAAGGTTCCAGTCTCATGAGCTGCTGAGAGCTCAATTTATCTTACTTGTGCTGAATTAATCATAAAGAAGTATGGGAAACATTAGACCTTTGTCTCAGAGAAACTGTCATGGTGACATTAAGGGATTAGCATTGAACCAGAGATTGCTGCTGCTGGAGCAGGGGCAGGAGCCTGAATACTGTTGGAAGCCAGTCCTGTATCCAGACTCCAGGAGGCCAATTCTCTCTGACTTAAGATGTATGGGCAGTGAAAATTGGTACCAGTGTGCCTAGCTCATAAAGAAACCACTACATTTCACAGCCTGAAAATGTGTCAGCAGCCTCATGGACCTGTGAAGTTCAGTGAAATGGAGACAGCCTCCTTTTAATTCTGCTTCCCATTGTACTACAATGGGAAATGATTACTTGTATTGTACTACAATTAGTGAAACACCATTGCCTGTCTCATGGCAGAAGTTTACCAAAACTTGGCTCTGAAGAAATGCTTCATCCTCCAGAAGAACCTCCCCAGGAAAAATAAACAAATGTTTTCAAAGTCAGACAGGCACTGCAAGTGTCACTGAATACCACATTTCTCAATTCAAAGAGGTGCAAGCTTTCAGCCCCACCGTTTCCAAACTGCTAATCCTCACATTATTTAAACTAATACCACAATGGACAATTATAACACTCTAAAAATCCTTTCTTCTAGGGAGGTAATCAAAGCCTCCAGAATGGGGGGTGAGGGAGCAGACAAGCCTGCAAACCACTCCTGGTGAGGAAAATCCAACATTTATCCATTAACAATCCAGTCCCAAAAGCTCAACATTTGGGTGATGCACAATCATCTTTAGTGGCCCTGCTTCTCTCCAGCTCCACAGTCCAAGGACTCACCTTGAGAAATGACAGGCATGCAAAGCTGAAAAAAGGAGTACTCCTTCCTTTGCTTTTCTTTAAACCTTGCAAAGGATGGACATTGAAATATCACTTACTGTGCCTATAAAAACATGTGAAAAGTTCTGTCATGGAATTAAGCTGTGAAGAAATATTCATGTAATGAATACAGGCAGATCTCAGGTGATATAGCTTTGGAGGGATTTTTTTCCTAGAAGAGATGAAAGGGTTTTTTAAGGCTTTCACACATTTTTGTGGGTTTGCTTGAAACCCATGCACTTGCTTTCATAACATCACTTGTGCCTCCAAGGACAAGGTGTGTTAGCACTGGGGATAGCTGTGCTCAGGTATATACAGTGGCTAAACAGCCAGAGACCACTGGAAATTGATTGGGCTGCAGTAGACAATAGGAAGAAGATGAAAGGATGCAAAATCAAAGCTGATAAAATATGTTCATTATGTTGTATACGTCTGATGTTTGTGACTGAAAGCTTTCATTTTCACATATTAATGGAAGAAAAACATCCACTGCCTTGATTTTGACACTGAGATTGGACAGACAAAGGGAAGAAGCTGCACAGATATTGTACAAATAAATATAGCCCTAAATGCAGGGAAAATCTCAGTGTGTATGTGCGTAAGTGGACGTGTGCATATGCATTTACAAACACATGCCAAGTGAGCTGTTTACATAGTAGAACTTCTCAGGCTGGTGCAAGTTGATGTGGTAATAGATTGTGAGGAAACTGTATCCATAATACCATTTACTGCCTGTGAAAAGATGTTTTCAATTTTTACCATCACACAGCTTGGCAGCCACAGAAGACAGTGAATGATGCCTTTGAATTTTTTTCTTTGATATAGTAATCTTGGAGTAAACAACCATTTGTTCCTCTTTCTTTCCCAGTCTAAAGACAGTCACTGGCTTATCGATAAAGGAGGAAGTTCTCGAGTGGCTCAGGCAGGTGCAGCCTGTGGACTGTGTATAGGCACGACCGACCCAGACGCCTTCTGATACACAACCGGCACAGCTGGGCAAGGCTGGCAGGACCTGGGGGGGAGAGATAAAAGGCAAGAATAAGCACCCTCAAACCCACCACCAGTATGAGTCAAAGCAGCAAACACCAGCAAGGTTTGCAACTCAGACCAAGCACTACCTAACCACTTGATGAAGTCAGGGAGAGTTAGATACATTATTGTTCATATTTAAGTTGTGTTGTCAGAGTTGGTTCAGCAATTTGAAAACTGTGAACACTAAATAACTTTTTCTGTATGCACAGCTAGGCTGCTTGGCATCTTTTCTTGAGCAAACACCTAAAATACCATAAAGTGTCTGCACTGGAGAGAGAGCTCCGTGCTCCTCAAAACATTTCTGACTGCATCACCTAATTTTAGCTAAGTCTGACTGAAGGGAAAACTTTTGAAGAAAGGTCTCAGAGATAGAAAATCTTCAAATTTCTTTTTTCCAAAAAGATGTTGAGGATTAAAGAAGAAAAGAAAAATAAAAATAAAAAGAAGCAACAAAAAAAAATTTAAGATGAGAGGATGAGAAATCTTTTTGCCCTTCCCTTGCACCCTTGTTAAACATCAGTGGTTGAAAAGCTGTCAGTGGTCTCATGCTGGGCAGTGGCTGGCACAGTGATGCCCACAGTGGTGCTGCCCTGGTGTTTTCCCAGCAGGGTGACCACGAGCTGTCCCCTCCACAGATCAGGTGAGGGACGTGCCAGGCACAAACCCTCTGGATATGAGGCTCCATTGCTTCTGCAACCACAAGTTTGTACATACAAGTGCACCCTGCTACTGAATGTGTCCCTGCCTCCCCTTCACTTTCCTCTTGCCAGAGCTGCTCCAGGTGAACCTTTACACCTGCCCAGAGATGCTCAGTTTGTGAACCCTCTCTTGCCCTTTCTCTCCAGTTCCTGTCCAAACAGTAGTAATCACAGCAGACTTTGACAAGTAATAGGTAGAGATGTGGGCTTAAAGACCTGTCTTTATATTTTACAGGTAAGCTTCATAATCTGTTCTTTTACTACAGGAAAATTTAGGAGCTTAAACAGGCTGATAATATCCCCTCTGAGAAGAAATTAATAGAAAAATATGGGATATATAAAAAAGAACATTTGTACTACTGTCACTGGAAGTGAAGAAAGAAACTACCATCTCCTAAAGCACTTAGGAAAACAGACACATTTTATATTTCACATCACTTAATAGCTAGTGGGAGGAGCAATTAAAGGGACTCATCTAAGTTTCCTCAGTGGAGAAGTTAGGGGTTGAGAAACTCTTTAGCCTGGGGTACTTATTTCAAGCAGAAGGATGTCAGAAAACACAGAAGTAGGGAAAAAGAGTAGTTGCATGTTAAGCATAGCAAAATATCTGAAAGTAGGACCAAAGGTGAGAAAACTGAGGAAACTTTATGTCTGAAGAACAAAGAGTCAGCAGGAATTGAAATGCCTTTAGAGCCTTTCTGACTGTAAGGGAGAACAGGATGACAAGCTGAGACTGGAAATCAAAAGGAAAGTTTGGGAAGAGAAAATTATTAATATTAGGATATTTCTTTATCTACACAAACTCAGATTCACACAGGACAATGGTAGCAGGACACTTGGCAGCACTGCCTTTGCTCCCACAGTCTGCCACTGAGCCATGGGCAACTCAGGTATGGGGACAGAAGTCACACAAGGTGAGAAGCATTCAAACAAAATTCCTCCCAGAAAGTTTAAGACATGACAAATTAAAGCTCCGCATGAAAAAACATGAAGAAAAGGAACAGGACAGAAGGATATTAAGCCAATGTTTCATTTCCTCCATAAAGGTCACCTGTGTTCAGAGGGCCAGCACAAAGCCTGTGTGCAACAGTGACATTTATTCATTTACCAGGCAGGAGCTGTTTGGAAGTGAGTTTTTGTGCACGTCGTGCTTTGGTCCCTGGTGGGTTGTGAGCAGGCTCAGGAAGATGAGGCTGCCTTGCATGGGCAGAGCACCATTCACCCTCTGAGTCAGGGAGCCTCAGGGGGACACAGACCAGCTAACAGGGTACCAGGGAGCTGGGAAACACCGAGATTAGAGGAGGGGGGTGCTGATTCAGGAAGCACATGGCACAGGGATATTGCTCTTGGATGCATCAAGTTCTGACCAAATGTTGTACAGATGAAAACGCCACAAGTGGATCCTGATTCATTTCTGCTCAGGGGTTTCTTCCAGTAAACTGGAAAGATAATTAATTGCAGGAAGCCTGGAGGTGAACAGCGAAGTGCTGGTCTGTGCTGGGATTGCAGCCCCAGAAACCACATGGAAGAGCTGTGAAGCTGAAGAGTCACCTGGCAAGGAGCTCTGCTTTCTCCTGGAAACCAAGGACACACTCAATCTTTGAGCCATGGTGCAAGGCTGAACACTGGATGGTGGCACTAAAATATTATCTATTAATAAACTTTCATGGTAGTTTTTAACCCTAGGAGTCCCACTAAGTAAATATGTATGATTTTCCTCCAGCAGACAGGAAAAGAAAGCACAGAATAACTGACTGATTTACCTGCTAAAACCACAGTACCAGGTGGTACTACGATCTAGATCTAGCAACAAAACAGATTTCTGTGTCATGTGTTGGAGGTTTGAAGGCAGCAGAGAAAGTAAGAGAATTTATATAGCACATTACTTTCAAAAGCAGTTAAGGAAATCTACTTAGGTAAAGGATATAAATACTGCTTTACTTAAAAAAATGAAAAGAAAGGAAACCAATACCTTCCCGAAGCAGAAGAACCTGCTCCACTTTGCTGTGGGGCGTGGCAAGATCCAGGGCACATTTGAGGTCAGCATTTCTGCATTTTGGGTTAGCACCATAGTCTGTCAGCAAGACAACTATCTCTACACTGGATTTCCTCGCTGCCACATGCAGGGGGGTATCTAATCTCTTCCCCACGTTCACATTGGCTCCTTGGGAGAACAAGAGCTCACGGTTAGACCTGGTAGGTATCATGGACTATCTGAATCTGCATCACACAGGCTGGTTTCCACCAGTGGCCTCAATAAATGGAAGGGATGGATGGCAGCCAGGGCTTCCCCCATGTCTCAACAACACCTGTGCAAAGCTGAGCAGGTCAAACACCTGCTTTGTAAGAGTGCTCTGGGCCACCAAACCCTGTCTGTGATGCTCAGAATTGAGCAGCTTGACCTTCAACCTGATACATGTTCAAAGCTTACCATATGCTCTTTAAAGTTGTTAATGGCATAAAATCTAACATGGATGATGTTGATTTAATTGCCAGGGGTACAAAAAAACCCTGAAACATTTAGGTATCTCATTGTAATAACTCTGGAAGCACAGGAAGCAAAATGCTTGCCCCAGGCTGGCTCACACAGCAGGGCTGCACTTTGAGCAGGTGTAGGTCAGCTAATGCACACTGACAGCAAAAATTTATGCTAGTTCATAGCCTGTGCTTGGACCTGCAGTGATCATTCTTCCAAGCAGCTTTACTGCTGCCCTCATCACCCACTGAGGAGGAGGTGAAGTTAATGATTCTGATAAACTGCTATGTTAAGCAAGATTTTATTTTGGTCAGTAATATTAGCCAGCATTTTCTGTGCTTCCTGTTGTTCTAGAAAACTAAAAGAATTCCGTTTTCACATGCAGATAGCCTCAGGGAGGAGTCTGCAATTAAGAAGGCTTTTCACTTAGGAAATCATAATTTCTTTGTCAACACAGGGGAAATTTTTAATGGCCTCAAATGAGTGTGACAGAGACAAGCTCCCAAACAACTCTTGTGGAAATAACCCATGATGTTTAAAGTAGAGCAGCAGCTCAGAGAGACCAGCAGTGCTGGCTCACACCACCACAGCTCTCTCCCAGCCCCCTTTCTAGGTGTACCTAGCTCCAAAAGCTTTTTGACACATTCTGTCCTCTGGTATGAGCAGGCCATGTAGAGAGGGGTCCCATGCTGAGGGTCTTCTTGGTCAATGTCAACCTCATGGGCCAGAAGGGTCTCCATGCAGTCCCTGTGACCTGTGGAGGGAGGAGCTGTCACTGAAGCAGAAGCAGAACAGAACACACTGCTGCAGAGCAGAACACACCCAGATACAACTGAGAGGCACAAGGGCTGTGAAAAAGCCAAGCCTGTTTATCTGTACTGGTATGGAATTAATTATTTTTTTAAATGCTTTGTCAACCACAAGAGACAGATTTGTCATGTAGTTATTGTTGGCTTCTCTCACACCCCTCACACCCAGAACATCACCTCTCTTGACTGCTTCATGGATGGGCGAAGGCAGGTGGGTCCCCAGCTGTGCCTTGGCTCCAAATTCCAGCAGCATGTTGACACAGGCTGCACTGCCGCTGCAGCAGGCGTTGAACAGAGGGGTGATGCCGTCAATGGTGGCTGCATTGACCTGCAGTGGCAAGACACACTCGGGATAATCCGCTTTAAGCGAACGCCCTCGCAACACGCCTCCTGTGCACACCAGAAGTGCGCCAGAGTGAGACTCTTGTCTTGTGTAATTCCAGGAATTATTATATTAACAACTTTCTGAATTACGTGTTGTGATGTAACATATATAACATTCTCCTTTGATGTCTGTCCTCTTTCCCAGATAGTTAGTGCCACAAGGCAGAAACCCTGCCTGCCATGAATGCTCCTGCTGGAGCTGCTAAAACATGCAATTTTTTATTATTTTTTTTTTTTTAACGTGAAGAAATTGAGTGTCTTCAAGATTGTTTAGTTTGCACCAGCCTCAAGGTGGAACAGCCTCAAATGAAAATGGCTCTGCTTTTTAAATGAAAACATTTGTTTTCTGTTTAATACTTTCACCTGAAAACACATTTCCAGCAACAGAAATTTTCATAGAAACATCATCCCATACAGAAAAGGAGCTTGAAGGAGTTGATGTGCATGGGTGTCTGTGAAAGACAGAAATTTTCTTCCCCAGCTTCAGAGGTAAAGACTAGGCAAGAACCACTATTGCCTTTCTCCATTGGGACAGCAGAGCTCTAGATCACAGAATCACAGAATATGCTGAGTTGGAAGGGACTCATCGTGATCATGGAGTCCAACTCCTGGCCCTGCACAGGAGAAGAGTCACACCACGTACCTGTTGATCCTGTGTTTAACTACGTAGCAACCCCTCAGGGCCAAGTTATAAAGCAAATCTGCATGTCTTTAACTCTGTGGCACACTGGAGAAGAGCAATGGATTACGCAAGCACATGCCAATTTGTAAAATTTCCACTGCCCTCACCTCCTCCCCGTCATCCGGCAGGTGTGGCTGGAGCTGCCAGAGGCATTGGAGGTCTGTTGCTGCCTGGTTTCTTGCTATATAAATTTTACTTGAAAACAAAGATGACATAAAAATATTCTTATATGTTTCATCCATTCCTTAATCTCTACTGTGAACATGTATTCTGCCTTAGGTCCTGTGGGAATTGTTATTTTATTAGCAGATAAAATGTTTTATTGCTTCAAGCACATCCATTTCTACTTACATAAGACTCCCAAACCTTCCCATTGAAAACCAGATGTAATTCCAGTGATCATTGTGGAGGAGGGAGGGGGAGGTTAAAGGTGTGAGTTACTTTCTTCAAGGTTATTTCAGTTAGCATCTTTCATTCATTTTCTATCAATCGTGATGATGTTTCACACACAAAGGGAAAACAAAAGAAAATAATGGGATGATACAAGGGGGAGCGAAATCTATCACCCAGGGAAACAGAACACTGTTGCATTTTTCCATATTTCTGTCTGAGATGTCCACCTGCATCTTGGCCCTGCCACATGGACAGCACGCCAACATTCCCGGTGATGCGGGGAGCATCCATTCCAGGTGCCCGTGTCCCAGTGGTGTCCCCAGGCCTTACCTGGGCACCGTTCTCCAGCAGCAGCTTGGCGCAGGCGACGTGGCCGCCCAGGCAGGCCTCGTGGAGAGCTGACACACGGTCTGTCGTCACCAGGTTCACGTTGAAACCCTGCAAGGCAGGGCCAGGGGTGTGAGGGGAAAACCCTGCCTGGACCCCGGCTCCTGCGGGGCTGGTGCGGGTGCCCGTGGCACGGACAGTCATGTCAGTGGTGTGTGTCCAGGGAAAGGGCTCAGGTGGGATTGGTGCTGTTCAGTGATTCCCTTCTTGTCCCCAGAAACCACAGCTGGTGGTGGGGTTAAAGAGGGAGCAATTATAAGCTGTGCCTTCTATTTCTAGCTCTTTATGATGCATTGCCAATTGCAGGAAAGACATCACATTTCTTTAACTTGTAAGGGTGGCATTCCCTTCCCTATTAAGTCCTGCACCAGGAGCTACAGCTGGAGGGATTCGCCTTCCTGAATGAGGATGCTTCTGGCACGGGTATCTGAAGCTCAGCTGGAGCTGGCATCTCCCTCAGTGGGGAGAAACAGGATTCCCTAGGATATGATACATCCCATGCTGAAGCAGCTGTTTCCAGTAGGGCAGAAGAATTGTATCCTAAAAGTTCTTCCATTCACTTCAGGGGGCACCCAAGTGTGTTTCACTCAGAGGTAATAAGTACCTGGTAAACCTATAAGAGAGATGAGTCAAATCCCACCCACAAATCAGTTCCTCTTATCTGACCATCCAGTAAGTGTTTTACACTAGAAGAAAGAACAGTGATTTACAAATGCCTTATTACAGGTATCTCCCTAATTGACAGTTGCCATATCTAAGACAAACCAGACATACTCACAAAGGGGAAAGCAGTTGTCATATGTGTTTTCCCCTGAATAAAACTAAATCTCCTGGTAATTAAAATTTTAAAACCATGTATGAGAACAGGCCTGGAAGCAGCTCCCTTGCCTGTTTGATGTCATATTTTGAAGCACAGCTGATGTCTGCCTGACATGCTATAGACAGGGCAGCTCACGAGATGGCAGCAATGCACTTTTTGGTACACAGTACCCAATGCTATGGGCAGAAAGGAATATCTGGGAGCAACCTCACATGGCAAAAAAGTCAGCAATCCTGATGCCATGAGTATTAAAAACACTGTAAACACTTCAGGCTAAGAATTATATGATAGAAAAACAATCTTTTTTAGTCATGTGAAAATATTATTAATGCAAAAGTTGTTGGTAAAATTTCTCATGCATTACAATGGTGCTAGGGGAATAGATAAGACCTTGAAAAAATACAGATTCTTCCATTTTCTAATTGTATGGTTGTTTCATACTTCACGATTAGCGTATTCCTTCAAGATTTATTTCTTCTAGAGGCTTCTAATAAGGAGACCTATCCTCAATCATTATTTATATAAAAATGTATATATATATTTAACAAATAAAACTCAGTCATATCAAGTGAAAGAATAAGCACTGATATCTTGGGAAAAACAGCAATTCCTTCCATTACAAAATGGAGAATAAGTTGTAGATCTTACAATGGCTCTTTGCCAAACATCACTCATGATAAACCTTGTTTCCAATGTACATGAAAAAGAAAACTCTTTTTTCAGACCTTGAAACAGATGTTGGTGAGTTCTTGAGCCATTTTAAATCTCCAGGACTACATCACCTCCCTATGTCCAGGCATTCCCTGTGCAGACAGAGCCTCAGTGGCCCTCTTGAAAGCTGTGGTGCCGCAATAGAGACTTTTGAGTGTCCCACAGATACTCAAGTACAGTCCCATACTTCATTTCAGGCTCACAGTGTAACTGTATTGGAAGCAATGAGCAATGATTATGCTGCTCCATGAACAACTTCATCCCTACATTTGTCAGTCTGTGGTGACTCAGCTCCAGTTCAGGCTCTACAGACACTGCTGCCTTGATCTCTTTTCAACAGCAAGGACCTTCATCTTTTACTCACAAAATTAAATGTCTTCAGGAAAAGGAGAAAGGGTGGATTAACTAAAGGATATAACCACGCCACTGGGTGCTTCCTCAGCGTACATCCATGCACAGTGAATAACCAGGGCATCTGGTGAGTATCCACAACAACAACTGCTCCACAAAGCAAGTGGTGTAAGGTCAGCATTAATGGAGAAAGAAGGGTCAGAAAACCATCAAATCCCTAAATGAATAAAGCATCTTTCTTTTTATCTCTAGCCTCCATCACTTCCTTTTCCATAAAAATCACTTTATGTCAGCAGGTGAAGGAAAGAGGAGCCAGAAAATTGAAGGATGAACAGTGTCTGTAAACAGCATCTTTTTTTAGCTGCAGCTATGCCTCAAGAGATGTCTGAAGAACAGGCCTTCACACTTGAAGCTCCACTCCTTGAGGATGTTGTCCATTAGAGCTGTGGCCTCTTGTAAAAATTATTTACCTTGACTATAAAAACTCTGAGAGCCAAGTCAAAGTCTTTACACTCGGGGAATTAATTTCCCTGCAATTGCCTTGGGGGCAAGAGGGAGAGGGGGACAGTTACCTATTCATGCTAGATGAGGACAGCAAGTTTAAGCAAAGGTCATAACGAAGATGATTGGCAGAGCACAAGGAACCATAACCTATCCCTTTTCATATCCAACTTCTTTTCCTTCTCACGTTTTCTCTCCTCCTGTCTTCCTTTTGCCTGAACTCGGTTCCATTTGGAGCAGGGGGTTTCAGGCACACTTTATAAAGGACAAGGTGCACTATTACAAATCTTTACTGTTTTGGGTTTGTTTTTAAATAGCCTACACATGTATATGTATTGTCCCTATTGTCAAGCCTAGTTGCATGGTTCATAATTGAGAAAGAGCCCAAGAATCATTGTTTATTATATAGAAAGCTGCAAGCTCTGATAGTCTGTCCCAGGCTTGTCCCCAGCTTCTTAGCAGAGCAAACTAATAGATGCCTAGAGGTGTTTGTGCTGATATATTATTCATACAGCCATATTTCTTATGCCCTGTTGCAGTCTATTACCAGCTCACCAGCCCATAAATGAAATTCATGTGAAACCATCCTGCTTCCCAGCCTTTTCTTTACCTGTGGGCTTTTACCTGTGCAATCAAGGTTTTCAGGGAGAGAAGGCGTCCCTGGAAGGCAGCATCATGAAGAGGGGATCGGTCTGCCCAGCTGCCTGAAACAGAAAATGCATGGAAGCTAATTCAGGTATGCAGCAAAAGCAGATCTTGGGAAGCACAGCCACGTGTAAATGCAGATCAGGACTGAAATCAATGTGGGCTCGGCGGTGAAACCCTTTGATGAATTGATTTCAGCAGAGCAGCTGAGGGGTCAGCAATCTTGAGAAAGCTGGCTGCTCACTAAGGGACCAAAACAAAAGCTTCTTGGCAGAACTTTTAAAAGAACAGATAAAAACATGTTTCAGAAAAAATCACGAGTTTAGTGCTGCTGTGTCTCACATGGAGACTTCAGAACCCTGCAATTTTCCTACTCAAAACCGTATCAGCCTCCACCTTTCCTTGGGAGCTCTTGTCACAAATTGCATCCCAGCTTCTCTGACACTTTGTTAAAAGCCTCATAGCGGGGTTGACTTGTCCATCAAATGAAGTCTGGAATGTTCTTGGCAGTTTTATTTCCTGAACTGACAATTTCATAAATAATATCCTCCCTCTCAGACTACCATGTAACAGGTTTAATCATCCTCTTCACTGAAATGTTTTAGAAAACATGGAAAAACAAATCCTGCCTGAAGGCTTTACCTTACTTCTTTAATAATTTGGAGATGCTGAACTGTTCAGACTCCTTCAAGTAGACTTGCTTGCCCTTTTTCTTATCTTAATCTATTTATATGCCAAGAAAAAATAAATCTTTAGCCTCGCTACTACCTACAGGCATAGACATTCAGCTCAGGTTAAATCCCTGCCACTCAAGTAGAGAGCAAATTTACTTGTCCTGTATTAAAATTTATACCCATACTGTGACACAGTGTGTATTATGTATTTCTCCAAAGGCCAGCTGCATTTCCAGTGCCACAGGACAGAAGCAATGCCAGTGTTTGCATTCACACTCTGTTGTACAGCAAACCCATGGGCACTGTATTTGAAACCCTTGTCCTGTTTAATTTTTTCAGCTATGCCACACACCAGAGAGAATGGAAAGGGTGATTTATCTCCATTTCAAATGCTACCCAAGGCAGGGAGAAATCAATGAGAGGCACGGACACATCCTTGGGGACTTGAGGCTAAGGACACAGCAGAGGTTTTATCCTTGGCCAAAGGAGTTTTGTTAACCAAGGACCAGGATGCACTTCATCTATTGGAGTTACAGTTTTAACTCTAACTTTTGTTTCCATTTTTTTATGGAGCACTTCCTGGGCTCCTAATGCAGGAAACTGGCATGGAAAGACCAGCTGGCACAATATATGGCAAGGCTCTGAATGACACATCAATCAAAATGACAGAAACAGGGACCAAGAAACTTCTTCCTGAAAACATTCCAAATACCCCACACCTCTCATCATGACTGAAATAGGCAGGCTCGGTTCAGAAAGTCAGAACACATCGCAAGTGACAAAGCCCAGAGCCCTTAAACAGCAGGAAGATCCAGGAGTTAGACAGCAGAGCTGCAGGGCCTTATTTAACCTTTTATGCAGAGTATTACATGTGCGAGTGCGTGTTCTCACATGCATTTCCAGGGCATTTCCAATGCATGTGTATGCACACACAGCCTCAGGACAACACACACTGCTGCACACCTCCATGCCAGCCACCACAACCTACCTCCCTGAAAGGTGTGGCAAATATAGTTCCCATACGGGGCACATCTCCCCTTCTCAGCTGGGAGCGACATGACTGAAAGTGCTCTTTCTAAATGCCTACAGATAAATTATGCAGCCCTGCTGCTGCTGCTGTGCTACTTCACTGCAAAGAGAAAAGGTTGTGGAGCTCTGACTGTAATATGATACAGTGCCCCAGCAACAACATCACATGATCTTACGTTTTGTAAGATTATCCTTAATGGCTTTCTGCAAATGGCAACTTGCAGATAAAAATATGTTACGGCCTGCTGAATTTCAAGGCACCTCAATAAGAACCCACTTGAAGGAAAAGCTGCTGTTCAGCACGTCAGACTACGATTGCATAAAGGAAACAATTAATAAATTATTTGCACTACATTCTAGAGTATAAAAAATAAATTAAAAACCAAGACATGCCTGCATATATACAGGCTTCATTAAGGATTTGTCAAAAATGCTTGTCTGCAGTATTTCTCTTGGCCAGATGTTAATCTCCCTGCTTTGGGTGGCCATCCCACTCCATTTGTGCTCTGATGCCATTCCTGTGTCTGTTCATGATGGCACAATCACAAAGCAAGTGCCCAACATAGAAATATGTGATGTCACAATACTGGTAAGAATCTTCAGCTAGGAAAATAAGCCTTCATTAGCAGTAAATTGAAAATACTGTGTCATTTTAATTAGTAGAATTAACAGGAATGCAAACACATGCCTATTCATTATTACAGCAGTGACATGAAGGATTAAAATCCTGAACTTGAAATCTAAGGACTTGAAAAAAAAACCAAAACCATAACCTACGAAGTAACTTATGAAATACAATATAATCTTGTGTATTTTTCAGAACAATTTTAGCTGCATTCATTTTTATCATCTGATTTAACAAAACAAGGATTCTTTGCTTGGATTCATAAAGTCATTAATTATATCCTCCTACATCTCCTTTCAGAAAATCAATATGCTAAAACTTTTCTCTAAATATTCTCTGGCAGTAAAACTGTATGTTTAGTAAAACCATCTGTAACCACTGACAAAGAACACCTTGCACCTGAGAACAACATTTTTATTTACCATAATGCCTTGAGCAAATGTCATCCTCATTCTAGCTGGGTAATTGTTGGGAGTCTCATATTTTGCACACCTAAATCATGCCAACACATACTGACACTGCAAAGACCAGAAATGGGAGACACTTCAGGTTAAAACACTTACCTATGCATTTAGCAAAAAAATCCCTCATTTCATGGTAACTCACTGATTTAAATCCTCAAGTTACAAAAATGTGGCAAATAAAAATTTCAATGTTAGATAGTACATTTTTTTACTTTACCTGGGACTATTCCATAGATCTCTTCTGCTATCCTGGCAGCTTCTTTTCTGTTGCCTTTAACAATATAGAAATGGGTCAGCAAAGCCAAGGAAATCTTAATTAAAAGCTTGAAGCAAAACAAAGCAAAAATGGCAAAATAAATGTTAGTGAAAGAATGGAGTATAGAACTGCCCTCCATTTTGGTTTTCCCTTTGAATAGTTTCTCAGGTTGGCTAAGTTGCACTGGGCTATTCTTGGTATCATATGTCATCTGTTTTAAACCCTTCAGAACCTGCTGTTCCTCAGTTACCAAAAATACATCCTGGTTTTATTTGGTATGAGGTATTTGATACTAAATAACAATATCAAGGATAAGATATTCTGAAGAACTCTGCACACAGGAAACAAATGAGAAAATCCTTTCCAAACCTAAATAAATGAGAATAAATTTTCAGACAGATGCTGTCCATACCACCTGAAAGCCTATACATCTACATTAGATTTATTCTCCCAGGTAGCAGTTCCATTTACAAAGACTGCATAGATAGAGTTGCAGATATTGTTCAGAGGTGCTGCAAAAAGAATACTTTTCTGTCTTTTCCATCTCAAGAACAGGTCTTGCTGGTACTCAGATACAGAACAAAGGCAAACATGTCAAAGAAAAGCATCATCATGAGAGAATTTGCAATAAACCCGCATGGCCAAAGCCAGGGCTAAAAAGTCAAACTTATTCTAGGAGGATTTTGCATTGAAATTGCACAAAAACAAACACATGGTAACATTCAGGTTTTCCCATTACCCATGGATAAAGAATGGTGTCCATAGATATCTCCTGCAAACAGCATTCTCTGTTTTGGAAATATTTTTACATTATCCTTCATTGATTCCAAGGTGCAATATTTGAAATTGAACAAGATGCACCCTTTCTTTAACTGCTCTTTTTACTTTCTGAGGGCACATGGCTTCCATAGAGAATAAAGTTATTTTTCTGTGTCTATTTATTTGAGTCTATGTAGAACACCCCATCTCTTTTTATTATAAACTGTTATTTATTCCTATTATCCTATATGTACCAGAGGAGGACGATTTATTTCTTACTTGATTCCCCTCTTTGTCCAGGTTCCCTTAGCCTTTAGTTCCAACATCTGGCAAGGAAAAGAGCAGGATAATTCCTCTCTTAGAGATCCCAAAGAGATGGTGGATAAGCACACGGAAATTATACAGCAAATTATTTCTCTGGGCATTTTAGATGTAATTTCTTTTGGTTTATAGCAATACAGCTGGTTTAGTACCTTGCTGTCTTCAGTGCTCAGCCCTCCTAGGTGCACTAAAATGCAATATGAAATATGTGCAGAGATAAAACACCCCAAGCAATCTTCTCAAGTGAACCAATTTTTCTAAAATTCTGAATTAAACCAAGTTATTACATTCTTACATTACTTAACTCCTTACAAAAGTATTGCATCTACCTTTCCTTATACAACAGTATTATACACCTGTAGAAACTACTATACTTATGAATCCAAAAGAGGAAAACTTCTTCTTTTTAATCACTTTAATAGTTTGCCACAGGACAAGACAGTTGAAGATACAGATTACAGGACAAGAGAAGTCCAGTTAAGGAATCACAGAAAAACATTTTGGTTTATTGGCAGTTAATTCTGCTCAGCTGAGAAACAAAGAGGAGAAATTAGGAAAGAAAGGTGGACCAAAAAAAGGAACAGTCAGCCCAGAAAAATCTCATCATGAAAACATTCCTCCTGAAGCCAGAGGAATAGCAAAAGCTGTAAGGAACAGAATGTAGGATGCAGAGAAAAAGAACACATAAAATATATTAAGACCATTACAAAGTAAAGTCAGCCTAAATGACAGAGAAATTTCTCATGTAGGATTTACAAAACTGCCTCTCAACAGGAGACAAGCAAGAAGGAGGAGCACCTTTTAAGAGAAAAACCAGAAAATTGGCTTTTGGTTGCAAAGTAGATTCATTGATTTCTTTCATAATCAGCCCACTAGATGGTATGTAGAATTGTACATAAAACTCAGGAAAAGTACAGCAAATCAGGTGATTTTCACTGAAATTCTCTTATCCCTAATGGAATAATACCAAAGAGCTCTCCAAGTGCTCTAGAAAGCCATGAGAAAATTTGACTGCTTGGAAGCAGTCACTGGAACATGACTCTCCCAGAAGGACAAACTCTATTTGTGTAGCAGCAAAATCACCAGCCTGGCTTCAGAACAAGACAAATAAAGATTTTCAGTTAAATTATTGAGTGAGTCATTTGAGAAAAACTTGTGTGATCTCTTAATCTCCTCTTAGTGTACAAGAGCACTAGGAAAATTACTGCAGTGGATGTAAAAGAAAATCATCATTGGGAAGACAGCTGAACAGCATGGTGGAAAGTATGAATACTGGTGAAGGTGGTAGTCAGGCAAACCACAGCAAGATCGGGTGTGACCACTAAGAAATCTCTGGTATTTTTGAAATAGAGATGAGCAATGTCGTGTAGGCGTGAGAACAGGCGGAACACAAGAGCAATGACAGCGCAGACAAAGGATTGTCATCGTTCCTCCCTTGCTCTTTTGAGCGTCACTGCTGTGAGCTGAACAAGGTGGATTGTGCAATTCCATTGATAGACTTGAGTGAACAAGTCAGCCCCCTGTAAAAAAAATACTGAGAACTTCTGCAAGATGCTCAAACTGCTCCATGATCCACTCTTCTATAACTCTAGGATAGTTACTAAATTGTTAAATCAAAATATCCAAAAATACATTAATCCTTCAAAAAATTGTCATGAGATGATAAATAGAAGTACTTTAGCTAGATCCTCAAAAAAACTGGAAAGGTAATGTGTATATATGCTTAGTTTACAAACATGCAAAGAATAAGCAGAAACAAAAAGGCAATCCATCTTAGAAAACAACTCATTTTCAGTAAGATTCACCTTAACTTTATCCAAAGTTAAGGGAGAAATTTTTAGGGACAAAGTTCTAGGGAGAAATATCAGATGTAACCTGAAGAATTTGGCAAGGAAATAAAAATTTGAAGGATCCTTATCTCAAAGAACTTCAAAGAGGTATTGGTCTGTTCTTACGCTACACATGCTTTCAATTACAGCAGCTTATTTCTAATGTATGTATTTGGGATTAGAATATCAAATGTATTCAATCAAAGTAAGGCAACTGGGGAAAAAAGGAGTCAGAAACACTCAAACACAAGAGATGAGAACAAAGACATGCATACAGAGCCTGGCTACTTCTTTTCTATCAGTTTGATCTAATAAATGGCATTACTTCTCATGCAAGCATTTAATTTGCATCCTTAGGTCAGCACACTTACAACACTCCTGCTTTCAAAATAGATGTGGAGAGTGACTCACTGTTTGCTCTCCAGCCAATGTGGGATTCATCTCACCTATCTGCACACCAGGCAGGGTCTGGTTATTGAAACTTCCTGGGCAGGAAGACAGCAAATTCCAGCAGCAGACAGTGCCTGTGCTCCCAGGGAATGTACCAGTCCCTCCTGCTAGAAGCAGCTTGAAGAACCAGCATGTCCAAGACAGCCAGCCAAGCACAATTAAACCAGCTCCTGCACAAGTAGCATCTCAAGAGTTAGGACACTGTTGAATCACATCAGGATCTGAAAGCAACCTAATCTACCTGCTACATTTACAAGAAAAATGTGTAATTCTGGTGAAATAATAAATTCAGATGCATTACCACATCCTGCCTTCAGTTTTGTTCCCTTAAAAAGCATCCACCTTTTATCTATGCTAATGCTCAAGTTATTAGGGAAATCTGTGGAAGTCAACATACTACTGAGTGTCATGATGCACAGCAAATATCATGAGAGTAGTTTAATGATAGCAATTAAACACTAAAAATATTGAAATACTCTTAATTTTTAAAAAATCAAAATATAAACCATTTTGAGATTATTCTTTTATCTATTTACATAAAGTCTGTATTTTACTGAAGCAGAAAGCACCTAAGACTTTTACAATTAACTTTTAAAAGACTAAGTATATATGAAAAAAAGGGACTAGTAAAGAGAAATATCAAAAAGAGAAAAATATAAACTGATGCAGAAAAACTTGACCATAAAAAACGTAAATTACAGTATTTACACTCTTTCAGATCTATCCACACCCACTAAAACACAGTGTGAAGGAGTCATATCTATCTATACTTTACTTGATGCTTGTATGGTATACTGTATCATTTCACCTACAATTTTCAATTATCAACACTTCAATTCAGTGTCTGCACATAATGTATTGGAAACATTTCTCCTTGTGCCTGGGGATGGAATTTCATTGCAGTTTGGGGAGGACCTTCTATACAGGTGTTCCTGCTCCTCCTACACACCAAAGGCTCTGCTCTGTGCAAGACATTGCTAAATTAGCATAGCTCTCTCTTTGCTAACATTGCCCTGGTATTTCTCAATAAACTTTACCTACAAGCACAATTGAAACATTTTAATTTTTTTAGGAAGTTATTTTTTTAATTTCTAGAAACACTCATTATCTCAGTAATTTATTTTTTTTTTTAGTATTCTGCTTATTTTATTTAACCTTTTTCGTGTTACAAAACATCAGTGGGTAAAACCAAATGTTTCTGTGGCATCACCCTTTACTCCACTGCACGAGGCCAGTGAGTGAATCATTCCCACAGAGCTCTGCACAATACTGAGTGCTTTTATTTGATAACCCAGCTATGGGGTTAAGTTTATATGGCAGCTTGTACAGAAAGATGATTACTAAAAGATATTCTCCTAAAAACTCCAACAACCAGCGGTGGAAAGCAGCATTATGATTTGTATTTCTGTATTTTCTAATTATATGTTCCTGCATATTAATGAAATGTATCCATTCTTTATGGAAAGGTAAATAAACCTCTAGATAAACTTTACATTAGTCTTGTAAACAAGACTGTAACAAGGTTTTATTATGTTATTCATAAGTACACAACGTTCCACAAAAGAAAAAAGAACTTTGAATAGATACACACAATCCTTTTGATTTGTGTTTGTAGATGTTGCAGGAAACCAAACAGAAATATAAAAGAACAAACAAAATATTACTAAAAACACACACACACATATATATATATATTTATATATATATATATATGTATATATAACATTTCCCTGGAGTAACAGTCAGTATTTTCAAAAGGTTGTTAGAAATTTGAATGCTT